CCCCCCCCCCCCCCCCCCCCCCCCCCTTTTTTTTTTTAAATCCCCTCCTGCTCCTCAAACATGGAGACCTGCAGCACGTCGGGGCGCTGAGGGGCCTTTGTTGGGCTGCATGGGGTGAGATGTGGGTCATGCCTGTACAGCAGGCTGTCCTGAAACATCCCTCACAGTGAGTCAAGACGCCGCGAGGGGCTTCGCTGCATCGTGACCGGCTGGGAAAGACCACTTCCTCATGTAGAGCAGACACTCCTGCTCTGCACCAAAACATGAAACAAAGCAAACCAAGAAACGTATTATGGAATCAACTTTCTCCAGAACCAGCCGTCGTAGTACGACTCCATTAAGACCAATGGACCTGCAATGGTTGATAGAAGGGTCATGCCACGCTGTTTGCTTTTGTTCCCTCATAACTAATAAAAGGACTGCGGTTCTGGTTTTGGAGTTTCTGCTCCTCGTTTGTGCAACTCGAAACAGCGAAAGAAAATACTCACCTCCACTTAGGCAAGTGGCACCGGTGCCAGATATCCACTACGAGCGCTTGTCAAGCTCCACTATACTCCAAATTGAAATGTGACAGCTCAATCAATACTTCTCTTTCATGGAGCTTTTCACCCACGGCTCTTTTCCAAACTAGTTTTGAATTCTGTCTAAAACCCCCCCCCCCCCCCTCCCTCCCCTGGCTGAAGGCTGTTTGTGTGTCTGAAGAGAGAAGATATTGTCAGCGCCGTCTAATTATCTTGTTCTCTTTTAACCCTTCAGGCGACTAAATTCAGGCAAACTCCAGGACCTCGGCATCTCCGATGGGAGCAAGTTAACACTTGTACCAACAGTCGAAGCAGGATTAATGGTGAGGCTCACCTGGCCGTGTTAGCTTGCAGTCCCGATAACCGATACGAGCTTTTTTTTTTTTTTGCATATTTATTACTTTACAAATCACCATTTTTAGTTTGTTAAAATTCTTTTTTTTAAATATATATTCTTTTCCTCTCTTTGCAGTCTCAAGCATCAAGACCCGAGCAGTCAGTAATGCAAGCCTTGGAGAGTCTCACAGAAACTCAGGTAAGAGACTGTTTACGCAATAGTGCAACATGGTTGCAATACAAACTGAGCTGTGGGTCTCGTGTGTGTGTGTGTGTGTGTGTGTGGTTCTGCATGCGTGTGCATGGGGATATGGGAGGTAGCTTCGGTTAAGTGCAGAGCAACAGACAGATATGACAGAGAGAGAGAGAGAGAGAGGCGATGAGCAGGCTGCACAAGCCTCTTTGCTTGTCTAATCTCAGCCTCTTAAACAAGCCAAACTAGACATCCAGCATGAGCTGTTGGGATATAATAAGCAGCAACACCCCTTGCATCCTAGTAACATCTGTGATAGTGTGTGTTTGTGTGTGTGTGACCAGCAGCACATATAACACTCACTGCCACCTTTCTGTTTATACCTTTTTCTGTAATCTCACTCCACTCCTCCTGTTTTCATGCTCTAACACACACACACACACACACACACACACACACAGGCAAGTTTCCAGGAAGTGTGCTGTGACTGCAGCGTCGTCTCACTCACTCATACACATAGTGCTGGATCATCAGATGACAGCCGTCTCGCTCAGCATTAGCATAGGGTTCCTGGAAGCCTTAGCGTGCGCGCAATAGGGGGCCTGTGCTCCTCTTACTTACAGTGAAACGGCTCTGTAGGCAGGCCGGCTGAATTGCAGGATGCATTTGAGTCAGAGTGACGTGACTCGACCAAAAAAATGATAGATAGTGAGAGTAGAGCAGAAAGAGGCAGAGAGTTCTCAGGTGCTGGCCGCAGAGAGAGAGAGAGAGAGAGCGAGCGGGTGAGAAGAGAGGCGATAAGGCTGAGTACACACACACACACACACACAGGCAACGGTGTGACGTATGAAACACTGCAGCTGACTGACTGACTCAGACCTACTTCCTTTTGTGGCGTTGGGCAACACTGAGATGTGCGTAAGCGCATCGGTGATGCGCCGCCGACTGATGTCAAAACAGGACAAGATGGCTAAATGAGTGATGCCATTGTCCGAAGAACGACGCCGTGCATTAAGTCAGATTTTGTTTAATCAGACGATGTGGGCTGATTGGAGATAGTGTGGATTCGCTTAATTCCCTGCTGATCATTTTGTGGTGGAAATCCTGGCCTTGTTTTGTGTGTGTGTGTGTGTGAACTGAGCATGCGGCTCGTAACGCCGACAGCCGACGACTGCATGTGTGTAGGTGTGTATAAGTGAACGTGTGCGCGCCCATGCCCATCATGTGGGACACCTTTTGCTGGGTCAGCCAATGAGTGGCCGGCGTTTTCACCAGAGGCAGACAGAAGAGCTGATTTCTCACCTTGCCTCTTGTCCCTCATCATGCGTATGGCCGCAGTGAAAATGTTTTTGAAAAGCTAAATGTCATCAAATATGGACGGAAGCCGAGTATTTAGTGTTGCGAATTGTGGAAATGATCTTATTTCAATACATTTTTACCCCTTACTGGGGACAATTACAGCGAGGCAGAGAGGGTGGACGTTGTAGGCTACTACTAAAGTTATACATTATAATAATGCTAATGTCAGCATTATGAAGGAAGCTTTGAACTATTCAGCCCAAGCCGGATGCTTTTTCCTTCAGAATTGCTTATCGTGTGTCACTGTATTTATGCGATATTAATTGTAATCCTGCTGCGGCCGTAGAGAGAAGGGCACCGTGAGGCGGACAGCAGGGTAAAAGGTTAAGGAAAAAAACCCGGCATAAAGCTGCTTTAGTGTGTTTTTATCCCGAGAAATTGATTCCTCTTTATAATTCATGAAGCGGGATGGAATGATATAGATTGCGGAGAGATTAAGGATCTGAGTAAGATTAGAAAAATAGGAACACAAAAGCTTTCCCTCATTTCCTCTCCCCGCCTTCCCCCTAACTCTGGGGCTATCAAAAATCAATCAATGCACTTAGCTCTTAAGAGTGTCTGACATGATAACTGATATGCCCATATACCCAAAAATAGCCTCAGGGAGATGTGGGGTGGTTGCTCGCTGTGCTAGCCGCTGGAAGAAGCGGGTGTCAACCCCTGGATCTCTGATAACCCCTCACCCCCCACCTGTGTTTTGGTCATGTGAGGTCTCATTTTCCAGATCGGGTGTTTTGCCAGAAAGTGTGTGTGTGTGTGTGTGTGGGTGTGTATTCATGGAAGACCAGGGGCTGAGCGGATCACCTTATGACTTCTCCTTTTATCAGGAGTCTGGGGGAGTTTTCGCAGCTAGCTAGCCAACCGACCGAGCAGAACAAGACAGCTTCCAGGGTTGTTTCAGACTTTTGTGGAGCGAGTTAGATACAAAAAAAAAAATGTTTTATGGAAATGGAGCCCCTGCAATTATCGAAATGGGATTTTTTTTTTTTTTCTTTGCTCCATCTCCCCCTTCTCCCTCTTGTTTCTGCTTAACAGCTCTCCGAGGGCCCTATAATTTAAATGTGCTGTGGTTTGCATGTCCGGCTAGCTGCCTCGGTTTGACCGTGATGGCTGACTTCTCTAGCAAGGACAACCCTGGGCTGCCTTAAGTCCTCCTCTGGCATCTCCCTAGACTTTTTTTTTTTTTTTTTTTTTTTGCATGACATCTAAGCTGTATTAAGCCACGGCCTCGCGACGGCCCATCAAAATACAGTTGCCTGTGCTACTCTCTTCTCCTTCTGTCTGCTAAATAGAGGTTGTGTGTTCAGCTCACATACGCAGTCATGCGTGGACACACACACACACACACACACACACACACACACACAGGAAACACCAGAATTGAAAGGATATATTTAAGAGGATTGAGTTCAGAGAATGAGAAAATGTCTGATCCTAGTAGTGAAATGAACGTACACTCTCAAGACAAGCAGTGAAAGGGAAACGAAAACAATATTCACGATTTCTGGCCATGTGCAGACAGTGACATCGGCTCTCCATCTATTGATCTCGGTATTTGACAGAAAGAAGGATTATGTGTCCCTCTCAGCACACAGGGACTATTTGCTCATTGATGCACATTGATGTTAGAATAAAAGCCAACCAGGCATCACTCCCCCCCCCCCCCCATTGCCCTTCCCCCAAGCAGCCACCTCTTTGTTCCTGTCTTAAAGCATAAGCACCAAACCTGCCCAGCTGACAGGCCCTCAAACACACAACAATGATTGAGGGCCACTCTTTAAGTTCGTCTCTCTCTCTCTCCCTCTCTCTCTCTCTCTCTCTCTCTCTCTCCCCCTGGATCCCCTTTCATCCTCCACACATCCATAGGCGTCAGCGATGCCCAGTCGAGTGCAGCTACAGTGGAGCATACTGCTTTTTAAAATCAATCTCCAGCCGGAGCGTGCGGCTCAGCGGGATGCACATTTAGCCTTCAACACTAACGCCGATTTCTTTTGGGGGGAGGCTGGGTGTTGTCATTCCAATATGTCCTCGTGGAATCATGGGGGGTTACATATCTGCGCTACTTTTTTGCTCCTCCTGTCCTCATCCACTCCTCCTCCTCTTCCTCCTCTAGCAACGGTATGGCACAGTTTTGTCATTGTGTCACAGGTGGAGGAGAAAAAAGAAAAAGGAGAGCGTTGCGAGAGTTATTCTGTAGTGCGTCAAGTAGGATGTGCAAGTTCCGTGGGTCGGTCGGTAATGGGGGAGGAGGAGCTCATGCGCTTGGGTAACTCGCAGATGAAGAAATGCCAGCGAGCCTCTAATGGAAGGAAGGAAATCAAGACAAAACGGCGGAAGATGTTCGGCTTAATAGTACGAGAAACTACAGATGATGGACAGTGGCGGTGTGTGTGTGTTTGTTTGTATATGGAATCAACTGTGCATTTCCGTGTGCACGTGACTGTGTGTAAAACAGCTCAATGCAGATGGTCGATACGTTTCTTTTTTTCCAGTCCTGTAGAACACCTCATCTAGATGCGAGTTAATCAGCAGGATTGACACTACTGGAAATCATTGGAGAGTAATTGTATTGAGGATTTGAGAGTGCAAGGAATTGAAAAATGACTCGAGTCACTTTGTTGGTCAATATGAGAGGATCCTCCTCTGTCCTTCCCACTGCCATTTGAAATGAAGGCTTTTTAGAAGCGTGCGGTATAAGAGAGGGAGTGTTTGCTCTTTAGAATGCAAATTTGTTTTGTTGCCCCCTAAATGAACACGACAGAAATTCATTCAGCTGCAGGACGTGTAAATCGAATCGTGTATGGAACAGAAGACAATGCTGATCCAAAGGCCTACTTAGTCCACGCTCGTGTAAATCCTGGCCTTGAAGATTGCATTAATAAGCTGATCACGCAGTATTTTTGCACCTGTGTAATCCCCATTGTGATGCTTAAAAGCACAGTGGGGGGGATCAAGGTGTGTTGTGGAGCAATCAAGGGATGGATGGATTTTTAGGGGATTTCATTGTCCTGTTGAGTGTATGCATCTGTCCATGTACGTGTGTGTGTGTGGGCGTGGCAACATCCATTTTTAATGTCCGTGTCTTTGTGTGCTACCTCGCTCAGCGGCCAGGGGAGTCTCATTTCTCCATGTTTGAGTTGTGACCGTCATTTCTTTCCATTCCCCGGGCGACTCTGAGCTTTTGTGATTTAAGTAGCAGGCGTCGTGACTAGTGGGGCCACCGCGTGGGAGGACGGGGGCCAGGAAAAGTCACGTCTGATAGCCACCACCAAGTCTAATTGAGTCAATTAGCCATATACGCTACCGGTGAAACGGAGGCGGCCGGGGTCAAAAATAGCCAGGTCGATCCACAAAGCCACACAGAAACCTTCACAGTAGTCATCCCGCCTCACCTCCTGTACCCACTTCATCCCAGACATGAGATGCTTCCTCCCCCTCTCTTTGTCGGTGTTGATGATGTTGTTTTTACAAGTATCCACACATTTGTCTGGCTGGGCACAGACACAGGAACCCGATTAAATTGTATAAAGCGGCAGCAGGTATTGAAGGCAGAGCGTGAGAGCAGCAGGCGAGCTAGCGAGAATGAGGATTTCTTCGCTGTTGCCCGCCCCGAATGTGGAGCTGATGCGCGAGGCCCGAGAGACCCTAGACCCGTGTGGGCATGCGAGTCGGCTCGGCGTCAGTCGTTGGCACAGTTGGCGTGTGAGGAGTGGCTTTATCTTGGGAACCCGATCGTCCTGGACTTTGCAATTCTGATGGCCAGCTGGTCCTCTTTTGGCCCCTCTGTTTCTTATCAGGCAGTATTACAGACGCCGTATCTTTCTAATGGGGCCTTTGAAGAACCTCCTCCCGGCTGCATTGATTCTTTTTTTTTTCTCTCTCTCTCTCTCTCTCTCTCTCTTTTGAGGGGCTGTTATTGCATCTTTAGCCGGTGTTTGTCTGCAAAGGGATTATCAATAGTGTCCTGCTGCGATCAGAACATCTAGGTCGATGGGCGGGTTAAGGAGCAGGTTTTTGAACCGTACTCTTCGCCTGGCGGTTCGACAGGTGAGCCGCTGCGCTGGAAACCAGAGCGGCTTCCTCCTCTCAAGGCGGCCCTCTCTCCACCCTCCTGTCCCGCCCTCCCAATCCTCTCTATCCTCTCTGCTCCGGCACAAAGCTGCTCAGTTGTTCATGAATGTCAGCTCAGTGCTGCCAGCGCTCTCTATCTTTCTCCTCCCCTCTCCCCGCTCACCCTCCCTCAGCCTCTCTCTTCCTGCCTCACTCCTTATCTCCCTCCCTTAGTTCGCTTAGTGTGCAAAGGAAGAGCGACTGCAAATGAGTTCCTTGAACCACGGGGACCCCAATAAATAAAACTGTCAGCCAGAGATGTCGAAAAAAAAAAAGAGGGAAGGAGCCAGAGGCACGCTCTCACTGAATATTTCATCACCCACCACCACTCTGACACCCTACCCCCATCGCCCCCATCCCCCCCACATCACCATCCTTTCTCCTTTCCTCTCTCATGCCACCCACCCCCCTCTTTTTCCTCCATCTTTTCTCCACCCCTCCTGGCCCTTATCATATTCTCCCCCATCGCTGCATAGCAACCAAAGCCGCCTGCTAAACAAAATAGCGCCTCCCTGACAGCTAAACCAAAATGGTTGATGGCGCCGGCTGTGGGGTCAGTCGTTAAAGAGGAGCAATTAAGTGGAACGGCTCTTTATCAACACCTGTATGTCAACGAGGAGGGCTCTGCCCGTCAGATTTCTGATGAGTATAATCAACTCATGCGTGTTGTTCACCAGCACACCTTGTTCTTCAGGCATGAGCTCCTCTTCTCTTTGCATACCGCTGCTGCTGCATCAGAAAGGGAACAATGAATGGCTGGTTTCTCCCCATCAGCCTTAACACAACAAAAGCCGGGCCCTCCACTCTCGCCGGCTCCCACAGCAAAACACCACAGAGGGCAGTGAGACAGCTCGCTTCTCTCTCGCCGGCTAATTTGTAGCCTGCCATGTGGTGTTGGGAGCTCAGTAGGAGTACACGGATCTCAGCTCGGCGGTTTTGAATAATCCACAGTAGTCATTATAAGGGTAATCAAGCCTCCTCTCTGTTTCTCCTGCTGTCGCTCACTGTCGGCCTTTTTCCTCTCACGTGCTCGCACATAAAAAAAAACAAAGGGCTTGTTCGGACATGACATTAGATGGCATCTTGGATGATTCCTTCACAGGAAAAAAGCTTCCTCCTTTGGGATTCAACATGTGTACTACAGTGACCATATTTAGCAAGACGATTGTCCGACACACAACTACAGACGGCAACGTCAGCCTGCACTTGACTAGCAGCTACCGGTGCTAACAGTTTTAACCGGGGGGGGGGGGGGGGTGTGGCGGGCGTTACGCTTCTGTGACCATACAGTCCCGCCACCTTGACTCAGGGGACAGTCTATCATTTATTCTTTATTTGACACTACAATTTCGCCAAAAACAACCTGAAGCACCATGTCAAGTAGGCCAAACCCGACCGGAAAACTATTTGTAAATATTAGTTTGAAGCCGGCACGACCCGTCGGGTAACCACAGTCTAATGTGGATACAGGATCGGAGGTCTGAACGGCACCATAAACAAACAGGCACTCACTTCCCGGGGGTGTCACTAGTCTCCCTCGGGGGCCTCTCACTCTGTATGCACGTTGTGTGTGTGTGTGTGTGTGGGTTGGCAAACTGTCGACTCATTCTCTTGACAGCTGTCAGTCACAGACACAGTCAGCGACTCCTCCCACTTCTTTTCTCTTTCTTTCTCACCCCCACACACTTTTCGGATTCCGCCTCCCCCCCATCACCCTGAGGTCTCAAACACACACACACACACGTCTTGTCTAGCAGGTGACCTTTTGTACACGGGAGTTTCCTCAAGTCATCTCAGGTAGCACCCTGCCCTGTTCTCCTCCTCACTTCACACCGCGCCCTGCTGAGTTTATTGTCTAAGCACGACAGTGTAATCATGGGTGTGGACTAGACTACCAACAGGCCATTAGTAGCTGAGTTAACACTCTGAAAAGGCTGAGTTTCTGTTTATCCAGCAGCAACCTTTTATGCTGATTTCTGCTGCTTTAGCTGTTAGTTATTTACACGTTATTTACACAGCCATCAGATCGTCCCAACCCCCCCTCTTGTCCTTTCACCTGCCTCTCTCTTCTCCCTCCATCCTCTTTTTCCACACCGTGTCAATACCAATGTGCAAAGGTCACCCTGGCAACAGAGAGGCAGCGGTCGATAGAGAAATAAATAAGCAGAAGAAAAAGGGAGAGAAGTGATGGAGGGCAGGGCCCGGTGAGTCGCAGGGTTAACTACGGGCCCCCATCTCACGAGCACACTCCAAAAGGCTGCAGGGTCTTCGGGGGAGTGAGGCCTCTGCTCTCCTTTGCCGTCTTTGTTTTGTATGCCTCTATATTACTTGCTTTCTTTGCTTTGTCATTACTCTTTCACTCCATCTCCCGTCCTCTTTGTGCTCTCTCTCCTCCCCTTGTGTAGCTCTTTCGGTGCCGCTTCTGTCTTCCTGTTCCCCCCCCCTCCGTGCCTCTCTGGGGGACTGAAAGCACACAAGGCAGTAGGGGTTTGTTGAAACCTTTTTGGACAGAGGCGTTTGTATTCGCCAGTGCCGTTTGTTTCTGTTTGTTTCTATTTTGGGGAGAGCCTGAGCTTTCATTATTGCAGAGTCTTCAAGACCTAAGGCTTCTCTGGCCTGCGAATGACTCTCCCTAGAAAATAAACACGGTCACGCGCACCTACAAAACATGCTCAGACTTACAGCAGTGAGTGGCAAATCACGCAGCAACGGAGCCGCAGGCATGCAGGAGGGGGGACAAGAAGACTTTTGTTGTTTAGTGTGAATCCTCCGGCCAAGTCGTGACAACTCCGCTATCCTGTGTGTGTGTGTGTGTGTGTGTGTGTGTCCATCCGGGCCACGGGGTGGGACAGCGAAGGCCTCCACACTCGGCTCCTATCAGTCGTTGCCAGAGCTCCAAAAAAGGGCAGCCCTTCCAGATCCGCCGCGGACAATCAGCCATTCTGTGTTGGAGAGGCAGGCGGGGTGTATTTCCTGGACGTGGGACTGATTTTTCAGGCCCCGGGCCAGACAGAAGGGTGGCCTCTGTCTCCGAGCTGAATAACACTGCTGACTAAGAGCGGACCGAGGGGCAGTGGGAGGCGAGCGGGAGTGGGCGCTTATTTGTATGTGTTTTCCAATAGGTCTCCTCATCCACTGCTCCCCAGCAGATGTAAATAGGCCAGTGTTACAGAAGAGTTGATTGATCGCATGATGGGCTAATGTGGTGTGTCTGTGTCTCCATGAGACGGGGAGCTCAAAGCACTGTTGTGTTGCATTTCAACTGCCATCCATGGTGCAGACTGTTCATTTACAAAGGAGGAAGTCGATAAGCGTGGGGGAGTTTTTTAATCTCTTTGAAAGGCTTTGGCATTCTGTACATAATGTGGATGCAGAGTTTCTGACACCTCTGCGCCAATAAATCATGTAGGATTTGCTTTTTGTTGTTGTTAGATTTCTATTCTGTGTTTCTCAAATTCTCCTCTTTGTCTACCTGCAGGTCAGTGACTTCCTGTCCGGCCGCTCCCCCCTCACCCTGGCATTGCGCGTGGGTGATCACATGATGTTCGTCCAGCTCCAGTTGGCGGCGCAGCAGTCCGGCGGTCCCCAGCTCCAGCACAGACACCTCATCACCCGGGGCAGTGCAGAGACCCCGATGGGGCAGCCCACAGGGCAGCCCCGCGTTCCCCACCCTCACCCACACTCCCACCACCCACACCCCCATCACCCGCATAGCCAGCCCGGCCCCCACTTGTCCCAGCCTCACCTGGGCCCTTCCCCTCCTTCTTCCCCGGGCTCCCCTTCCTTCCCGCTGCCCTCCACGCACCACCAGCCGCTTCCTCCCATGTACCACCAGTCGCCCTCCTCACACTGTAGCCCCCCTACTCCCCCGCCCCAGCCCCACTCCCCTCACCCATCCAACGTCCCCGGAGGTCTTTTCCGCTCTCCAGCCAGTCCCCACCATCACTACCACCAGCCTTCCTCAAGCCAACCCAGCCACAACGTCGGCCAGGCCAGCCCCGTAGCCCCGGTCCTCTGCCCTGAAGTAAGTCTCACAAATATTGTCAGGGATCCATATTTTATTTATTGTTTAGGTGCTACGAATACTGTGGTAGATAGTGGTACTTTTACACAACTGATGGTAGCATAGGCACTTGGCCTTCTCATGAATGAACAATGGCGGGGATGGGGTTTTGGCCGTTTGACCCGGGTTGCCAGGAACGGAACTAAATCATCTTCAATTAAATTGATTAGTGGGATATCCCAGCAGCGTGAGGGTGATCCCGTGGTTTACTCAGGTCTGAAGGTTTGTGCGAGTGTGTGTGCTTCCAAACCACAGTGCACTTAGTCATCACTGGAGTGTAGTGTGCTTCCCAAATACATGCAAACAAGCCAACACACACACACATAAGTCGGGGCGGCCACGGCATCCCTATGACCTCATCCTGCGAGACGCTGAGGGGAAAAGGAGGGGAGGGGGTTCAAAGAGAGGCAGGTGTTATGAATCAGAGTTGGGTTTTTTAATGTGAAGACTGATCATTAACCTCAGGGTTGTCAGTCGTTCATCGTTAGCCTTTTACAACCATTTACTTGAGATAACTGCGAGGAACAGCTGCACGCACAAACGCACTCGCTTGTCTCCACCAACCAAATTTGCTGTTTATACTTTCTCTACCTCCCCGAGTTGCAGCCTATGGCAAGCGAATGAGAACCAGATGTCAGCGGACTATGTGGGGGAGATGGTTCACAACAAGAATAACAGAAAGACGGGCCAGTGTGGTAGTGAGAAAAAACGGAAACGGCTATTCCTCATGAGGCTTTCACATGCGTAACGCACACAAACACGGAGGCCTTTGCCTGGGTTTCACTTTCAGGTGTCAGTTGAGTGATCCAAGTTAAGCTAAGGTCAAAAAGCAGGGCTGCTGAGTTTGGTCTCTCTCGGGTTTGAGGTAACAGGATGTCCTGGCTGATCTGGAGCTATAGGATGGCTGAAAGCTCAGTTTTCCTGCTCTAGCTCTCAAAGTATTTCCAGCTCTCAAAGTATTTTATATAT